CAGAAGGAACTGGCAAAGGAGGTTAAATTCCAAGCCCCCCCAGAGATTTTGCGAACGTCTCTGGGGTCACTGGATCCCCTTCTACCTTTCACTGTCTCTGGGACAACTTGGGTCCGAAAAGGACCGTCCAATTTCCTTCGGAATAGAGGAATTTCAGGAATAGCCTGAAAATCCGTCTTCTCACTGCTAAGCCCCGCCTTCTTCTCTTCTGTTAGTGTTATTATTCTTGATGCTTCCTGGGTGCCTTTAGTAGCTAGGAATACAGGTTGTGAATTTTCTAATGCAAAACTCTTTCTTGTACTCATAAAAGTAAAATAGAATTATGAGCACAACGGATTGAAATACCATCTCTTTATTAGCCATTCATTCTTTCTGACAGAATTCATGTTGCAATAGTGACATTGTCTGCTGGAACATTAATTTGACCCTGAAAAAATACTTCAAGAAAGTTTTATTGTGAAAAAAACCAAACTCAAAGTTGTGTTGGATTTCTTACCAATTTTACAAATCTGGGAAACTACTTTTGTATCTTAGTTTTCTTCTCTTATACAAAAAAAAAATATCACTCAAAATAATGAATGAGTGGTTGTTTGATATTGTTATTCTTCATAGAGAAGTAGCCATTTACCTTTTTGAAGGTAAGTTCAGTGCACCAATATGTATTCTTATACTTAAGTGGGGAAAAAATCATCTCATTCTACATTTTATGAATTATATATTAATCCACTTTTTCATATTCCAATTAGTGGAAATGTATGAGTGCAGCATTTGTTTGACTAAGCAGTCCATATGCTCATAAAACATTCAAATGGGGAATCAAATATTTTGATACTGAAGCAATATTGTTATGTTTTACTCTCATATATATTGATAGAAAACACTGCTGGACCTCTTAGCTTTGACAAGGTAGTAAATGAGTCTTGCAATGCTTCATTTTATTTGGTTCTATTTTAGGAATATATGGAAAACATTTAAGTATAATTAATTTATTATATTAATTCATATTTTGAGTAACACAAGAAAAGTTTTTAGATAATGTCTGTTCTAACTTTTGTTCAACTCACTTTATTAAATTGATTTTTTTTCTTTTTAAGTTAAGCTTTTTGTATTCTTGCTTTTTTGGATTTGGAAACATTTTGTTTCCAGTAATTTTAAATCATTGTCATTTGCATATTGTAACAAGCATCAGAAGAAAATATAATGTAATGCATTCATCATTTCAAGCAGGAAGTAAACATTTAATTTGTGTTTTCTGTTTTGTTTCTTCTTCTCCTAGACAACATCAGGGGAAGATGTACGTGATTTTACTAAAGTGCTAAAAAACAAGTTCCGATCCAAGAAATATTTTGCTAAACATCCACGACTTGGTTATCTGCCAGTGCAAACAGTTTTAGAAGGCGACAATTTAGAGACGTGAGTTTTGAACAGAGATTGGGTCTTTTCAATATAGTATTTTTTCTCACAAAGATTTTTTCTAAGGGTAGAAGCTACAATGAGAATACTTTGCAACTTCGTTTATAACTAAACATGTTCGAACGCAAGAAGAAAGCTAAAAGCACAGAAGTATTAAAAATTCAGGCATAGTAAAATGTCCTTTAATAAAACATATAAACTATATTTATTTAAGACATTTTAAAAGTACATTTACTGAATGTGTCCAATACAGCTAAAATTACTTTGTAGTTCCATTTACTTAGTGGGAATGAATTAAAGACAGTTTTAAAATTGCATACTGAACCATGCCCAGAAATTGGTTTTTATTCTTTAAACAAAAAGGAGAACATACTTTCGATGTGATTACAGTGAAAGAGAAGCATGTCACTTAAGATGGTCTCATCAAATATATTCATCCTGAAAGTCTCTTTAAATTGCACTCCAGTTTACGTGCATTGTAATGATATCATTAATGAATAGAATTAGCATTAGATTTAGTTTTCTATACATTTACTTTCTGTACACCTGTTTGTTGAATGGTATACATGCCAAAGCTGTAAAAATTGGTTTATATACTGAAAAATTGCAATCAAATCAAATTGTACAGAATAAACACTCTACATTAATGTAATAAACTATTAAAATCTGTATAAGCTTCATTTTTAGCAAGATACTTTAAACGAATTCCTAACAATTAAGAACTATGTAAGGTTTCAATTAGTTCCTTTTTTGATTATAGGATGGGGAAAGATACTGTTTTTAAGATTATTGCTCTTCTATTTGATCATCAAATGATCACTTTTTTCTCTGTAATATATTCTGAAGTGGATTTGGTTATGAGCAATTTCATTTTTCCTCTACGTCTTCTAAAACAAAATATTGGGGTAGAACAATAAATAAATATATTGTGCAGTACTTGTCTAAATAGTATCAGTATTTTAATCTTCTGTTTTCTTTCTATGCTTCTTTTCTTTCAGTCCTATCACTCTTATTAGTATGTGGCCAGAGCAGTATGAGTAAGTATCTTCCATCTTTGTGCTTGGTAAGGTAGCTAAGTTTAATATATCAAATATTTCTTCTGCAAAATTGTGGAAATGAATGAGACCATGCACAATCCTGGTTCTCTGAATCTTCCATTTATTTGACTAGAACAAGCATGAAATAAAACTTCTGAATGGCGAACATTTGTTACCATATTTGTTTGAGTCAAGGCCATCACCTTAAGAGGCATTTTGTTCTTTTGTGTTTAATACTGTAAAAAAAATCTTGTTTTTTTATAATTTAGAAAATTCAACTTCTTTTCTGTTAAATTCCACTAGCCCCTCCCAATCTCCACAACTGTTTCATGACGACACCCATTCCAGGATAGAACAATATGCTAACAGGTAAGAGGCAAATGTGTGTGTGTGTGTGTGTGTGTTGATATATCGCAGAACTGAGATTGACATTACAAATTAGAACAGTGATGCTGAACCTTTTCGGCACCAAGTGCCCAAACCAGAATGCATGTGCATGCATGCACCAGAGTGCCAGAACCCCAAAGACCAGCTGCGCACTGGCCACCTGGTCTTCGGATTTCCGGCATGCGCATGCACGCTTGCCAGCTGCTCTTAGCACATGCTGGAGTGCATGCGCACCTGCCAGCTGGTCTTTGGTTTCTGGCGCTCCTGAAAAGCAGCTGGCGATGGCAGGCATGCCCACAAAGAGTGCTCTGCGTACCACCTCTGGCATGCATGCCATAGGTTCAACATCACAGAAATAGAAAGTATGCATTCTTTTGTATTATCATCTATCTGTGTAAATTTAAGAGTTAAACATTGAAAAATGATGTAATGCATAATTAAAGTTATGACCATCATTGAATGACCACTTAAAGGTTAATACATGATGTGCCTCAGAAATACATCCTCATTTATCAGTTTGGGTTTTTGGAATTTTTAAATCTCTTTTAGGTGTTGAATGGTTCTATAAATTGGTTTATCCTTTGCTCAAATGATAAAAAATTAAGACATACAAACAATCTGATACCAAACATAGTTTATTTAACATCTGTAAACTAATAAAGAGGATGCGAGGCCATTCTCCTTTAAAAGTGAGTTTGAGCTGTGATGAGTGACCCCACCTTCTGTATCTTTTGGGGACCCTGAGAGGGACCACAGGGACAGTGAAAATATTCTCTGTGGATGCAGGGCACAGTTCGGCTTCAGTATTACTTTAAGGCCTTCCTGGAACTCCTATATGAAGATTATGAATTATGAGTGAAAGTTATGAAATAAAAGTTTTATTTCAAAGGAGGAAGAAACAAAAGATGGGACAACAACATGGCAGCATATTTTACAAAAATGATAAGTCTGAGGAAATCATCAGGTTTTTAAGTGATAAGAATGAACATTTATTATGGAATAGGCAGTAACTTGTTATTTGGTTGTTCCGATTGATTGATTGGTTTAGAAAATTTATATTGCCGCCTACTCGCACATGGCGACTCAAGACAGCTCACAGGACATAAAAACACAATATAAAAGAAATAAATATAATAAAAATTAAAAATAATAAAATAATAACCCCCTCCCCAGCAACAGCACACATTCATACCAGCCATTAAATGGGCTCCATCCTGCTCTGGGTTTCCCAGGCCTGCTGGCAGAACCACATCTTTAGGACCTTCCAAAAGAGTGTTAGATAATGTTCCAGAAGAAGGGAGCCACCACAGAGAAGGCCCTTCTTCTGGGTCCCGCCAGATGTATATCCTTAGGGGACTGGAACCCACAATATTCCTTGCCTCCCCACTTTAGTGGGTCAGGTAGTTGTGACTTATAGCAAACTGCCAAAAAAATACTACAGTTGCTAAATTGAGAACTAATCTGTACGAAATATAATCATAATTTATCTTTCATGGATATGGTTTTCTTTTAGGTTGGCCCAAATGGAGCAGAGCAATGGTTCCTTCTTCACCGATGGTAGCTCCACCACAGGAAGTGTGTAAGTAGATTTAGTAACTGGAATTATTATAAAAAATAATGATCACTCATTTAGGCTTAGGGCCTATGTGATATTTGGTACATTTTTTGCCTTAAAATGGTAGAAAACTGCTTTACCAGTTTTTTGCCATTGAGCAATTTTAGATAACTGTAGCCCCCCCCCACTTCTCAAAATATTATGCAGAAATATGTTGCTCTTCTATGTTATACAGATGGTTTACTGTTTAAAGCAGCAATCAGTTTAAATCCTTTATAAAGTTGCAAGCTTATCTTCTTTTCAGTTAATACATTTTTTCAATTCATTTATTTTTTGCCTCTTCAAGCAATTTTATAATATTTAAAACAATGACATTAGTTATGCATTTAGTATTGATATATTTCAAACATGTAAAGTATGTATTTATGCTGACCCTCTCAATCTCTAGGGAAGATGAGCATGCTCTTATCCAGCAGTATTGCCAGACTCTGGGAGGTGATTCACCAATGAGTCAACCGCAAAGTCCAACCCAGATCTTGAAGTCAGTGGAGAAAGAAGAACGAGGAGAACTTGAACGAATCATTGCTGACCTCGAGGAAGAGCAAAGGTTCCATAACCCTGTTCTACATTCACCATGTCTTGAAGATTGGCTATGAAAAAAATATTAAGGGTCACAGGCTTATTTCTGTGTGTCAGTAGGAAAATAGGAATCAAATATGCTAAATATAGTCTTTCAAAGTTGAAATGGTGGGAATTGTTCCTTTCCTAGGTTGGCCATTCCCTTCCTTGGTCCTCTTCTTGTACCTCAACATTTCAACCAATGTAAATAATTGGCACCTGCTCATGTTTCTCCGTTTCAACCTCTTCCTGCCCCAGTGATATTTCTCAAAGTTCTCTCCCTTAAACTGAATTGAGCCCCTCCTCCTCATTTTTCTTTTTTTACACAAAATATAAAGGCAAGAGATACTCTATCAGTCCATGGTTGAGGAAAGGATTTACAATTCAGAAATCTTGGAGTCCTAGTGGACAACCATTTAAATATGAGCCAGCAGTGTGCAGCAGCTGCCAAAAAAGCCAACACAGTTCTAGGCGGCATAAGCAGAGGGATAGAATCAAAATCACATGAAGTGTTAATACCACTTTATAATGCCTTGGTAAGGCCACTTCCACTCATTGGAATACTGCATTCAGTTTTGGTCACCACGATGTAGAAAAGATGTGGAGACTCTAGAAAGAGTGCAGAGAAGAGCAACAAAGATGATTAGGGGACTGAAGCTAAAACATATGAAGACTGGTTGCAGGAACTGGGTATGTCTAGATTAATTGAAAGAAGGTCCAGGGGAGACATGATAGCAGTGTTCCAATATCTCAGGGGTTGCCACAAAGAAGAGGGAGTCAAACTATTTTCCAAGGCACCTGAGGGTAGAACAAGACGCAATGGGTGGAACCAATCAAGGAGAGAAGGAACTTAGAATTAAGAGAAATTTCCTGACAATTAGAACAATTAATCGGTGGAATAGGTTGCCTCCAGAAGTTGTGAATGCCCCAACACTGGAAGTCTTTAAGAAGATGTGGATAACCATTTGTCTGAAATGATATAGGGTTTCCTGCCTAGGCAGGGGGTTGGACTAGAAGACCTCCAAGGTCCATTCCAACTCTGCTGTTGTATTATTGTATAAATCAAATCTCGGTCTTCCCCAGATAGAGCTAGAAAGATTCCAGCCTAAAATCAAAGTCTTGTATTCCCAAGAAGTGGCCACCTTTTATGAGCCTGAGGACCATCATAGCAGAGTTGAGTTCCTTCTGGTTCGAACCAGTTTGGCTGAACTGCTAAGTAGCTTGGCGGTCTGGGTTGCTGGAACCGGCAGCAACCCAGACCTGCCACGCCCCCGAACCAGTTCTCCCGGTGGTGCCATAGGCACCGCCATCTTGTTTTTTGCTTCTGCACTTGCGCAGAGCAATTTTTGTTGTACTGCGCATTAGTGGCTGCTGGAACCCACCCCTGCATCATAGCCCTTTGGCTGAAACAGCAAGGTTAGGATTTTCACTGCAGTCCAAGCTATAAAGCCTAGGAGGACATACTGGACCAGCAGAAGAAACAATATTAAATTTCATTAAGCATAGTTAATATTATTCTCAGTGTATTTTTTTCCTTTTGCTTCAAAATTATAATTTGGCAGAAATTTTTACTTTGTTGGGATCACAAGCGATGTTTTGTGGCCTTGCCTGAATTCTTGGAATTTCATAGTACCAAAATATATAATACAGGTATTTCCTGAGTGAGGTGAAGCAATTCTGTAAGAAATGAGCTTGCTGTTTTTATGATTAATGGGGCAGAATTTGACAGAGGTGAGATTAATTAATTAATTAATTAATTAATTAATTA